ATTATGTTTGAAATTATGAACATTGCTCAACATCATGAAAATTAAACCTTATTTTCAATAAGCAATCCTGAAAAATATTTGGGGGGTGCTTAACTTTTTTCCAGGTGTATAGTTTCTTTACTTTCCTGTGTATTGTGATTCAATGTAGTTTCTTTACTTTCCTGTGTAGTGTGATTCAATGTAGTTTCTTTGACTTCCTATATAAATATTGAGATTCAACATAGCTTCTTTACTTTCCTGTGTATTGTAATTCAATGTAGTTTCTTTACTTTCCTGTGTACTGTGATTCACTGTAGTTTCTTTACTTTCCTGTGTATTGTGATTCACTGTAGTTTCTTTACTTTCCTGTGTATTGTAATTCAATGTAGTTTCTTTACTTTCCTGTGTATTGTGATTCAATGTAGTTTCTTTGACTTCCTATATAAATATTGAGATTCAACATAGCTTCTTTACTTTCCTGTGTATTGTAATTCAATGTAGTTTCTTTACTTTCCTGTGTACTGTGATTCACTGTAGTTTCTTTACTTTCCTGTGTATTGTGATTCACTGTAGTTTCTTTACTTTCCTGTGTATTGTAATTCAATGTAGCTTCTTTACTTTCCTGTGTATTGTGATTCAATGTAATTTCTTTACTTTCCTGTGTATTGTGATTCAATGTAATTTCTTTACTTTCCTGTGTATTGTAATTCAATGTAGTTTCTTTACTTTCCTGTGTACTGTGATTCACTGTAGTTTCTTTACTTTCCTGTGTATTGTAATTCAATGTAATTTCTTTACTTTCCTGTGTATTGTGATTCAATGTAATTTCTTTACTTTCCTGTGTATTGTAATTCAATGTAGTTTCTTTACTTTCCTGTGTATTGTAATTCAATGTAATTTCTTTACTTTCCTGTCTATTGTGATTTAATGTAGTTTCTTTACTCTCCTGTGTATTGTGATTCAGTGTAGTTTCTTTAGTTTCCTGTGTATTGTAATTCAATGTAGTTTCTTTAGTTTCCTGTGTATTGTAATTCAATGTAGTTTCTTTAGTTTCCTGTGTATTGTAATTCAATGTAGTTTTTACTTTCCTGTGTATTGTGATTCAATGTAATTTCTTTACATTTCCATGTATTGTATGATAAACTGGAGGTTCTTAGTAATAATAATAATTCATTACATATGTTGATTAAAGTTTTCACTATTAAAAATAAACTTTTAAAAATAAAGTTTTCAAGTTACATACCTTAATATTTTACAATTACTTTTACTACTTGAGATTAAAAAAGTGTTGTGTTAATCAAAGAAACCAAACCATACAACAAATACAGAAAACACTGACACCACAGGAATCAACTGGTTATGGGAGTATTTCACAGTCTCACCTACAACAAATACAGAAAACACTGACACCACAGGAATCAACTGGTTATGGGAGTGCTTCACGGTCTCACCTACAACAAATACAGAAAACACTGACACCACAGGAATCAACTGGTTATGGGAGTGTTTCACAGCCTCACCTACAAAAATACAGAAAACACTGACACCACAGGAATCAACTGGTTATGGGAGTGTTTCACGGTCTCACCTACAACAAATACAGAAAACACTGACACCACAGGAATCAACTGGTTATGGGAGTGTTTCACAGTCTCACCTACAACAAATACAGAAAACACTGACACCACAGAATCAACTGGTTATGGGAGTGTTTCACAGCCTCACCTACAACAAATACAGAAAACACTGACACCACAGGAATCAACTGGTTATGGGAGTGTTTCACAGTCTCACCTGCGATGGGGAAGGCAGAATTAGATCTTCTTGAGTAGGAAGTGGTATTTTCTGATTCCCTTCAGATACCAAGTCATCAGTGTTAACAGTTACCGACTGATTGTTTGGCAATACTTTAGTCTGATGGCTAACAAAATCAAGAAGGGAACGACTTTTAGCAGCTAAATCAGCAGAGGATGGTTCCAGACGTCCAACTTGTATACCAACCTGAGTAAAAAAAACTATAGCTTTTAATGTAAATAATTAAACTATCTAGCAAACTACACTTCACCAGTTAATGTAGTTACCTGTTTAAAATCAACAGTTAGTGTTACAAATTCTACAAAGTTTTAAAACTTAGTAAAATTGTTCTCGCTAAGAAAATTGTTTTTAAGTTAGTCTGATGACAACTAGTGACAGAATGTTGTCTTTACACATATATTAATACAGATAATGTTACTGTAGAACATAATACATAATTATCTACAGTTTCAAGGTTTTATTTCATAAATCTTTTAAGTTTTTGTTTTTAAAACGTTTGTCTAAGTCTTTTACTTGTTTATAATTTTGTGATTGTATGCATTCTTATGAATATTAATCTCATTTTCCCACAAACAAAATTAATGATGTACAATAGGGAACATAAACAATTTCATGTTAGCAAGGATAAGTTAATATTAGAAACAACAAGAAACGAGTGAATGATACAAGTTTGATCTTTTTTATTTCCTTTACCATGTAACCCCCGATAAAAAAGTTCTTGGATTTCTTAGTGTTTTTTATGTTTGTGACAAGTTATAAAGATATAATAGTTAATCTTACACCTCTCAAGTCCTGAGGGTTGTGTTTCATCATCTGAAGGAGGGATGCACATTCTCGACTAATGATCTCAGGGTTGTCGGTTGCTGTGTGAAGCAGAAGTGATTTTGCTACATTATCACATACACCATGACCCATGAATTTTGCAGTTTCCACTGGTGCATCTTTCTTTCGAATCTATTTGTTTAAAAAATTAGCTGGTGTTAATGAGATTACAGTTAGAAATAACAAAACCAGTGACATGTAGTGAGTGGAAAAAAAAAAACGTTTCAAGTACTCTAACTCCCTTACACTGTAGATAATATTAAGACCATTATTAAGTTTTTTCAAATTTAATGATAGTTTTTTAAACTATATTATATAAATTAATTCACAATATATTTATCTGGTCAATCAACAACAACTTTTATTTATGAATATTTTATGTTAATCAGTGAATAGCTAATGTATGTTAAAAAATGTTAGTACAAACAGCTAATTAACAATCTAAACTTAAAATAACAGAAAATAGAGATATTTTATCTCATCATAAGCTACATATGAATATCTCTGTTCATTTATATTAATTAACATAAGCTACTTATTAATACTTCTACTTACTTATATTAATTAACATAAGCTACTTATGAATACTTCTGTTTACTTATATTAATTAACATAAGCTGTTAAATGAATACTTCTATTTATATTAATTAACATAAGCTATTATATGAATACTTCTATTTATATTAATTAACATAAGCTATTATATGAATACTTCTAT